GGGGGGTGGGGACACCTCGATAGCAGCAGGGGCTCGGTGCACCTGGACCGCAGGGGGAGTGCATAGCTGTGAGGCCAAGGTCAGGCGATCGTGGGATCTGGGATGGCTGAGTGGGAAGGAGGTTATAGCGCAGGGATAGGTCTCTCTTCCAATCCAATGCAGAGGACCCTGGCACAGTCACCAAGCCACCCGGAGGAGCCTCAGTTTCCCCTTTGATACCCAGCCACGGGTTCCTTCCCAGCCCTTTGCAGGGTCCCATGGCCCCCGGAGCCCAGCCTGCCCCTGAGTACAGCGCCCCACCCGGCTGTCCATGGCCGGAATTTAGCTGAAGAAGGGTGTATATGTGTGTTTGGGGGGCTGGGGGTAGTGGTGTCCTACCTCCTCTAGCACCCTGTGGATGAGAGGGGGAGCTTGTGGGGCAGGGAGTCCCGGAGGGGCGGTAGCACACACAGGCTCCCCTAACAGTGCTCTGGTGGGCCCAAAGGGGGCAGGGCAGTTTGCAATGTCAGGCTGTTTACAATTCCCAGCAACCCTTGTGATTCTGCCACCATTCGGCTGATGAGGAGCACTGAGGTTCAGAGAGGTGGAGGGGCACACACCCTTGGTAGCAGTGCTTTGGTGGCTGTGCTGGGGTGGTGGCCACAGCGGCGGGGCAGAACGAATCCTCCATGACAGCCTTGGAGGTATATGAGCCCACCCCCCAAAAGTCTGGCCCCTGAGCTCCGAAGGGAGGCCTGCCGGGAGTGGGGGGGCCATGGCTAGCCACACAGGCCAGTCTGTACTGGGGCCCCAGCGGCCCCTGGGGAGGTTACTGGAAGTCTCCGAAGCTCTATCCCCGCCTGCAGGAGGCATTCAGAAACCAAGTGAGAAACTGCTGGCCTCGGCACACGGCCGAACAGTGTTCAATCCCAACCTCGGCTTGGGTCAGCAGTGGACACCAAAGGCCCTGGACAAGTGTCCCTGGAGAGCCCAGTCCTGCAATGAACACTGGCCACCATCACCCAGACTTGGTAAGGCAGGCGTCCACCGCATGGGGTCTGCTTACTTCAATCCAGGGAGCAAGAACTGCAGGCCAGGGGCAGGGTGCCGGCAGGGACAGCGTCTCCGGGCCCTGGGCCTCCAGGCTTAATGCCTTCCCCACTGTGAGGACAACCATGTCCTCACCCCTCACCTGGTCCTCCCACATAGATGAAGCTCCATCCACCTGTGTGATCTGAGCCCCTGGCCACAGGGAGGCATGAGACTCTCCTGCTGTCCCCAAAGGTAAGAAGGGCTAGAGGGTAGAGCTGACCATCCTTCACCATCCCCACCATGTCCCCAACAGGCCAGGGAGGGGCTAGGCCCTGTTTCGCAGGCAGAGACACCTGTGATTCCAGGGGATCTGAGGCAGCTCCCTGATCCTTCCCCACCCCCAGGGGAAAAGTCAAAAGTCCAAATCCTCTAGTGGCAAGAGCAAGGAGGGAGCAGTACATCCCCTAGTCCCCTGGGCAGGGGGTGGGGAGGGCAGCAGGGGATGAGGC